TTAATAATTAACATTTATGAAAATGTTTGCGATAATCAAAGGCCAAACCGTCGGCGCACTTAAAGGCGGGGAAATGTCGGGCGTACTTATCATCGCTGAATAGCCACCAATTGGCGCACGACTGGCAGTCCAGGGGGTCGGCCAACACACGGGGCCCTGTGCTGAGTATATCCAACTTAAGCAACCACTGGAACGTGGCTTCGGGCAGATGTTTGAACGCATTGCCGCGTATATCAAGGCTGACCTCCGGGGCAAAGAAGTCAATGTGGAAAACATCCTTGTGAAATGTCACCTCGGTCAGCTTGTTATACGATACGTTCAAAAAGAAACCACGTTGATTGTTGAACGCGTCGGCGGCGATCTCGGTAATTTTGTTTTTGCTAAAATCGACCACGATGTCCGACTCGCGTACACTTTGTACAAGCACGTTTTTGCCAATCTTGCTCAGTCCACTTCGTGTTATTTTGAGCAGGCACAATTTTCTCAGCGACTCAAACGCGTGATCATCCACCTGGGTCAAATAGCCGCTCCCTTCGATGTCAATGTACCGTAAATTATTGCACGCACTCAACGCCTGGTATATGTTGTAGTCGGCCGACGGTGTATAGTAGCCCAGGGGTGCGTCTCTACTTTTGAACGAGATCAAATTGTTTGCGATGCCATTAAAAGCCTATGGTGTTTAAATGTTTTTAAAAAAATATGTTTAGTTAAATATACAATTTAATTTAGTAGTTTAATATCTAACAGATTTTAACAGGTTGCAAATTATGGCATTTACCACATTCAGGTTTTGCGGCTAAAAGTATTATTAAATAGTTATTTGCGAATATTACTATTTGTAGAACTAGGATTGTTCATAAAATTACATATTATAATGTTAGTATAACATACATGCTGTGTATATGGTCTATACAATATGGACTTATCATTATCACATAACAAACAAATTATTAATTTTATTTTTCAACATTACGTACCAGTTTGTGAATTCTTTCAACCTTGTTCAGATTGTCGAGTGTAATCTTTTCAAACTGCACATCTTGAAACTGATTAGGACCTAGCTCATAGATCTTGGTTTGCCCTATGATGAGCTCGTGAAATTTGAGACCCCGACCACTCAATCGCTTGAATAGGGCATCGAATTCATCGTTACGTATCCAATACTCGTCACAGACCAAGGTCAGTTGGTTTGTATCAGGGTCTTTTTCGCATACGCACGGCTTCACTAACTCGTCCTGTGGGCAAAACTCTGACGCCCATGATGAATTAATTAGGCTAGCTCCAAATATCACCGTGACCAACAATAAATCTGTTATATTAAATTTAAATATTAATTTTTCTTTGAATAATTAATTATTTATTTTTATGAATTACTTACAGTTCATAATTAAAACAATTTTTAATTGCTGCATGTGAAATATAATTGTTAAATGAATATTACATTTCTTTATATATTAGTTTTTCTGTATATTATTGTTATATAAGCATTTTTAATTTTAATCAATTAATCCTATTATGATAATAAAAGCACTTCAAACTTGATTAATTTATAAAAACAAATCCTTACGATGATCAAGTTTTAAACTTTTTAAGACATGTTTTGATGAGTACCTTTTTAGGAATAACCATGGTGTTTACTTTTAATTTAACTATACTAACAAGGATATATTTTAGAATATTAAATATTTGTAAAATATTACATTAAAACAATATTGTATTTACATCTAGTATAAATAAATGGTGTTATTTATCACTTATAAATAAATTACTATACTATAATTAATAAACACTTTAGTTTAATTCCACATCGTGGTTATATAATTAAATAAACTTTGTCACAAATTGTTATACAGTGAACTATGTGGATTATCAGCGAACAATATGCATGTACATTGTATTGTTGTGACAAATATTTTATTATTTCAATATTATATCATTTTATTTCATGATGATAATGTGTACTTTTCTATAGTATATGCAATTAACTTTGATATTAACATAAATTTATCTACTACGACGATAATACAATTATTTGCACATTGACTAGTTTGATTTACTTACAATATATTACATTTTGTAACAATGCTCATAAAGATTACTATTCTATACGAGACATTATATTGATTCATGTTATATTATTTCTTTGTAAATAATCAATAAATTACAATTTATTTCTTATTTAATTCGTTTATTTAATTAATATATTAATACAACACAAATGAGAGAGAGAGAGAGGGAGAGAGGGAGAGAGAGA